AAAAAAAAACACTTCGCAGCGAAGCAAATAGATGGATGTTTCCATTCTGCACTCCAATTTTGAAATCAGTGCAAACATTTACTTCACTCCAAAACTTCAGAGTAGAACACTGTGTAATTATATTCTCATAAATAACAATACAAGTATTGACGCAAAATGAATGACCAAACAAACTATTACTGTAAAAAATTATTACTCCAATAGACACATAACAGAAGATCAAATGGAGAGAAGTTACAGAGCTCCGAGATGATCCTTGACCTGTTGTTTCGTCAGACGTTGGAATCCTTTGGCGTTGCAAATTGCCACCTTAGAAAAAAAGGAAATGACATGAAAATAATGAGGATGAAAGATTGATAGATAGTAAGTTCAAGAGAGCTCATAACTTTATAGATCGGGAATGTAATGAATATTTGTGATCAAAATCATAAGTTTGGAACATTGACTATTAGCAATATTCTTCCCGCTACCACTTATCACAAATATTTGTGGAAAGCCTATTTGGCAATACACCTATAATCGCTTAGAATAGTGAGAACCAATACGTTTTCTTAAAACAGATCAATAAAAAAAAAACTCTGTGTACAACTGCCAAGCAAATAACTATAAAGATGACGGTTCATAATGCTGTAATCGGCATCTTTCAAATTATTGCTGAAAAGATAGAAAATTCCCAATTTAGCTTCTTAATCTTCGATAAAATAAGTTGCCCTAAAAAATGGCGAGTATGCCCTAGTTCTATGAACAATACTTTACATATTCGCGGTTCATTTGAAATACGAGGCCCCTTTGTTTAGCGGTATTTAGAAACAGAACATTAAATTTACGTTCACAAAACACGTTGTAGCTGTCATTAGTTGTTTAAGATATAACTAATCAGACAAGCCCGACTGAGAGGAAGAGGAAAGAAAAGCTAAGGTTAAGGGGAAAGAAAAGTACATTAACATCCACAAACAGGACTCAGGCAAGAGCTTAAGCTATCTACTAGAAGAAATTGTTCTCTTGCGGAACTATAAAAGCTAGAACTTACTGCGCGATATGCATACTGTGCAAAACGTAGAGAAACCGTTGTAATTATTCTTGCAAAGAATGATAAGTTAACGGCGTGTGTATGCGTGTTTGCTCATTGTAGCAATAAGATGAAGTGTCACCTCTACATTGTCCTCGGTCATCCCAACATCAAATGATTCCCTGAGGGTCAACAAGGCTGTATGAATTCCATCATCTAGCTCGAGTGCTTCACTATAGCGTTTCTCGAGAAACGTTTTCGCGTTTACATCATTCTTCCCCAATGCAGTTGCCTTCCAAGCAAAATAGGCTCCCTAAAGCTGAACAATGCATTGAGAGACGATATGTGTTTACCTCGCTGGAGTAGTGAACGATTAATTTTATGCACACTTAGAGATGGAAGAAAAATAATACCAACCGATGGATCACTTTGGAAAAGCAGCGGTCGACCAGGTGTTTCATCCCATCCAGCTACCAACAAAGAAACCCCAAATGGACGAACTCCTCTGAGAAAGTGTTAGTGAAAATCACCAAAGAAAATTGAGGTGATCGTCAAGACTATACCCTGATTGGGTGTATTCCTGCATAACAGCTGCGATTTGAGTAACGAGTTGGGTGGTGGGTATTTCTTCTCCATACATAAGTTCATATTCCATGGCAATTTTTCGCGCTCGTTTGACTAAGATGCGGAAGTCGGGACCCATTCCACTAGAAAAGGGAAGAATGAACATTTTCCATAACGAACAGATCATGAAGTTAAGTCAAAAGGCAAACCTATACACGCATCCAATATGCTGGCTAATTTTCTCTATTTTCGGTTGATCCTCAAATAGCACCGATGCGATATTTTCGGTTGACAACACCACACCATCCTTAGCTGAACAAAGGAAAATGAACGAAATTTATGAAGAAAAACTTCAAAATGTAAACCTCTCAATCCCACCGAAGGCTGCCCATTTTTGACCGCGTTCAAGGCATACTCAATTTGCATAAGCTTGCCTGATGGGCTGAAAAAGAGTGATACTTGGAAGGCAAGATTGAAGAAAAAAGATGAAAACTGTTCTGAAACAACCGTCGTCGGATGTTTCGAAAACTTAAGCCACCTGTCAGTTTGACGGCTGACACATTAAGCACTAAGTACAACTCAACTTTGAGGTTTAACTATGCGAACGATTTGATATTAGGTTGAGGTAGCTAATTTTTGTAGCTGTCTGACCAAATCCTATTCTATAAGCGTTCAACAAACATTTTCAATGTCAATAAGGCAAAATTCGGTGAGCACCTCTAACAGAAAACTTCTTATTCCAATCTAGGAAGTAGGAACAAACAATATTTACCATACAGGG